AAAATACACAAGGAAGGAACACCACTGAGACCAATATGTTCTTCCATCGGATCTCCATCTTATGGGCTGTGCAAATATATAATACAAATATTAAAAAATCTGACAATGGACTCTAGGTACAACATCAAGAACGCGGTAGATTTTAAAGACAGAGTTAACAACTCCCAGATTAGAGAAGAGGAAACATTAGTATCTTTTGACGTAGTATCCTTATTTCCCAGCATACCAATAGAATTAGCACTTGACACAATAAGACAAAAATGGACCAAATTAGAAGAGCACACGAGTATACCGAAACAACTATTTATGGACATAGTTAGATTTTGCATACAGGAAAACAGATATTTCAAATACGAAGACAAAATATACACACAACTAAAAGGAATGCCAATGGGATCACCGGCTTCCCCAGTAATCGCAGATATATTAATGGAGGAACTGTTGGACAAGATTACAGATAAATTAAAAATAAAACCAAGACTCTTGACCAAATATGTAGATGACCTTTTTGCCATAACGAACAAAATAGACGTGGAAAATATTCTAAAAGAATTGAATTCCTTCCACAAACAGATAAAATTTACAATGGAATTAGAAAAGGACGGGAAATTACCATTTTTAGACTCTATTGTAAGCAGAATGGACAACACACTCAAAATAAAGTGGTATAGGAAACCCATAGCCTCCGGACGAATACTCAACTTCAATTCAAACCACCCAAAGAGTATGATAATCAATACAGCACTAGGCTGTATGAATAGAATGATGAACATATCGGACACAATATACCACAAAGAAATTGAACATGAAATCAAAAAACTCTTGACCAAAAATGACTTCCCCCCAAATATAATCAAAACATTATTAAAAAGACGACAAATCGAAAGAAAATATATGTACCACGACTATCAGAACGCCTCACAAACTCAGACTGTTATAACAAACAAGATATAAAAGTAGCACACAAACCGACGAATACATTACAAAAATTCTTTAACAAGATAAAGTCGAAAATCCCGATGATCGACAAAAGCAACGTCGTTTACCAAATACCATGTGGCGGGGAAAACAACAACAAGTGCAATAGTGTCTACATAGGTACAACAAAATCGAAGCTAAAAACAAGGATTAGTCAACATAAATCGGACTTCAAACTAAGACATCAAAATAATATACAGAAAACAGCACTTATGACCCATTGTATAAAAAGCAACCACACACCAAATTTTGATGAAACAACAATCTTACAACAAGAACAACACTATAACAAGCGACACACATTGGAAATGCTACACATAATTAACACACCAACCAACAAACGACTAAACTACAAGACAGACACAGAAAATTGCGCTCACTTGTACAGACACCTCTTAAACAGCCAAACAACCTCAGTAACAATCTCCACGTCAAAAAGCGCAGGCGTGTAAAATAATGTATGTTAAATGTTCGAAATAATGTTTAATTTATTGTATTATAATTGTTAATTGTTTTTTGTATCTTGGTGTTAGTGCCCTGAAGACGGTTTGCCGATGTGCAACCGAAATATATCGGAAGCAAATTAAATAAAAATTGTTTTCATTGTTTGTTTTAACAAACACGGACCTCGAGCCAGCCAACAAATAAATATTGAAATATGGAAAGGTCGCCAGAGCCATCAATAAAATAACTTAAAATAAAATAATTAAAATTAAAATTAAAACCAAAATAAAGTAATTAAAACAAGGCGAGCAATTAGGACAGAACAGTCGACGGAAATAAAAGCGCAACCCAAGAAGAAGGCAACGAAACGAGGATATCTAAGAGGAGTAACGAGAAACACAAATAAGAGGTTACGTACGAAAGGATAGATACGGAAATATGGGCTCGGCTAGCCGAGTTGGAGGCAAAATAAACGTGGACCGCGGAGCACAAAGCCCAGCCCAAACCCGACCCAATTGAATGGGACAGACGCTCGAAGTCGGAGCTGGGCTCTGGCCCACGTTTAAATATCCCCGGCTTACTTGCGGTTCCGGTGATCGCGAGCTATAAGGCCCGCGATGCGAGCGATAGGATGAAGGAATCGGGGACGGCTCGTGTTACTGAGGGCGTCCCATTAACACCAGCGCGCCTACCAATGAAGTTGAGGGGAGACTGCATCGTCAGGAAGTGGAGTGTACGCTTCGATGGGCAGGCTGATCCACTGTCCTTCGTGGAAGCCATCGAGGGTCGGGCCTGTCCTATGACATCGACACCGATCGGTTGCCTTGGGCTAAGCCGGTCGCTGGTTCATGACAAGTGGGCTAAGAGATGTACCATGGAACGAGTTCAAGGAGGGATCCTTTGCTTTCTTTTTGCTCCCTCGGTACTTCGAATTGTTGGAACACGAAATCCGGGCTCGCGGTCAACGAGATGGCGAAGGATTTAAACAATATGAGGTGGACATAAGGGCGTTGATGCACCACGCTGGTACAAATTGTATGTGCGGAGATAAGATTTCTCGTTGCTGTCGAAGCTCATACAGTTAGCCGTCGAGTACGAGTGTATAAAACAGCAGGGTCAGCAGTACCCGACTGGTTCGCGATCTCGATTGGGGCGTAGCATGGGCACGTGTCTAGGCGAGGGGCAAGCACAAACAACCCGTTCAGGATAGCTTCATCGCAAGTCGGCGGGATGGTTCTCGGTGGAGTAGTCCCAGGGGCACTACCGATACCAAGGGTAGAGGCCGCCAACAGGATGATTAACCAAGAAACTGGAGATTAACCAGGCGACGCCCGATATGCTTTCGGTGTGGGCAAGAGGGGCATTTTAGGAGGGAATGTCCCAACCCTCAGGTAGTTTTTTGTGCGCGATGCGGAACTAGAGGGGTGAGCAGCCAGGAATGCTGTAGACGACCGGCTCAGGGAAACGGGCAGCGGCACCGTCCGGACCGGGAGCGGATGGGCAGCGATGTCAACGAAGCCTGGAAGCAGTAGATGTTTTGCGAGTCGAGGGGGGTCGTGTCGCCGCGACGCTAAAAATCGGAAAGGAGGACTACGCGGCGACAATCGACAGCGGTGCCACTCGATCTTTCATCAGTGGTGCCATCGCGGCGAAGGCGACGAAGGACGTGGAGATTAGGGAGGTACAAACTAGGATACGGCTAGATGTCGTACGGATGCTGCACGCGGAAGTCAGTTTAGCGGGGCGCACGATCGGCGTGCCTACTAATCATGACGTCGATGCTAGATTAAGTGATTCTAAGTATGGGCTTTCTCCGTGCGATAGGCATGACGATACGTTGCGGGGACAGCAAAATGACGCTAGGAACGCCGGAGAGACTGAGAATTAGGGAAGGGGCGACTGGTTGCCCTGTGGAGCTGATCCTGGCGGCAAGATTGGGGGTTCGGCAGGGGGCGGCAGTCCGTCCCGCGGAGAGAATCCCGGAGGGGCGATCGAGGTGTGTTCAGGGTGCAAGTGAAGGTGCGGTCGGACGATAAGGGTGCGTCCAGGGTGCCAGTGGAGGCACGGTCGGACAGCAAGGTGTCCAGGGTGCCGCTAGAGTCGCGGTCAGACAACCCGGGGATGTCTAGAGGGCCAGGAAAGGATCGGAAACAGGAGCGTAAGGCGGACTCGACAGGGGTTAGGGTAAAAGGACAGGCGACGACGGAGGTCAGCAGAGGCGGGATTCGGGGCCTATGTGTGGATCAGCACCTAAGAGCATGAAGCTGGGGAGGATGGCTGGATCCAACGGGCAGGAGAATTTACCTCGCGCTTTCAGAAGAAGTCGTGCTAGCACAAGAACTAGTCGCGGGGAACAATACAGCCGCGGGAGCTAGTCGCGAGGCTTGCAGTAGTGAAGGTTCTGGAGAGGGGGGAGTCCCAACAGGGAGGACGTCTGGCCAGCAGACCAGGAGCCGAGTCTGCAGGTGCTTGTAGAGGCGGATTTGGCGCGATTCAAGGGGCTGAAGGGCGTGTCCCACATAGCCAGCCATCGGAAGGACAATGAGCCCATCAAACAGAGGTAATACCCGAGGAACCCGGCGATGCACCGAGTCATCGACGAGCAGGTGGAGGATTTGCTCCGGACGGGAGCCATCCAGCCGTCCCGAAGCCCGAACAGGGCGCCGATTGTGCTGGTGAAAAAGAAGACCGGAGAACTGGAGAGAGAAGAAGAGAAGAGAGAGACTGGCGAATGTGCATTGATTATAGGCAGCTTAATGCACATTCGATTCCGGACGCATACCCAGTACCCCAGATAAACCACATTTTAGAGCACCTACGGCACGCACGTTATATATCGACGCTGGATCTCAAGCAAGGATATTGGCATATACCCATAGAAGAAGGGAGCAGGCAGTATACCGCGTTTACAGTCCCAGAACGGGGACTATACCAATGGAAGGTGATGCCCTTAGGTCTACACTCGGCATTCGCCACGTTCCAGAGGGCACTGGATTCGGTGATAGGGCCGAAAATGGAGCCCCACGCTTGCGCCTATCTGGACGACATCATCGTCATAGGCGCGACCAAGGAACAGCACATAGCCAATTTGAAAGAGGTGTTCCGACGGCTGAAGGAATCGAACCTGAAGCCCAACAGGGAGAAATGCCGGTTCTTCCGGAAGGAGCTGGTATATTTGGGTCACATGGTGAGTGGCGAAGGAATCCGCACGGACCCCTCAAAGGTGCTCGCGATTCAGAGACTGACGGCCCCTTCGAACTGTAAGGAACTGCGGCAGTGCCTGGGGATGGCCTCGTGACATCGACGCTTCGTGCCCAACTTTGTGTCGGTGGTGCAGCCGATGACCGCTCTCCTTAAAAAGGGGAAGGTATGGTCGTGGGGCGTGGAACAGCAGGGTGCGTTGGAGCATCTCAAGGACTGACTCACAACCGGGCCCATCCTCGCCTGCAAACGGACGCGAGCGATTATGGCATCGGCGCGGTCCTGACACAAACCATCGACGAGGAGGAGCGAGTCATCGCGTACGCCAGTAAGAAACTCCTGAAGGCAGAGATCAACTATTGAGCCACAGAGAAAGAATGTCTGGCTATAGTTTGGTCAATCCGCAAGTTGACGTGTTATTTGGAGGCGTACAGGTTCGGTGGTTCGTACAGGTGGTCATTACCGACCACATGACACTCAAATGGCTCAACTCAATAGAGAGTCCATCTGGAAGGACAGTTCGATGGGCCTTAGAATTACAGCAGTTCCAGTTCGACGTGCAGTACCGGCGAGGAAAACTAAACGTGGTAGTTGACGCACTATCCCGACAGCCATTGGAGGCATGTCGTCAGGCCGTGGAGGAGCAGCATCCGGATAGACCGCATGCATGCTGGAAAAACTCACCAAGAAGCCCTAAAAGTACCCGGACTATGCGTCAAGAACAGCCAAAACTATCGCCACCTGGGACGCAGTGCCGACGACGAAGACTACGTGCCGTGAAAATTGTGGGTCGCCGGCAATCAGAGGCAGAGAGTCCTGAGTGCCACATTGCCCCGATGGCAGGGCATCAATGGGTGAGGAAGACGATAACTCGACTGGCACAGAGGTATTATTGGCCAGGAATGTTTCGGGATGCCGCACGACATGTGAGGTGCTGTGAGGTGTGCCAAAGTTCAAAGTAGAACAGTAACAGAGACCGGCAGGACGAATGCTGACGCGCCAGGTGACGGAACCGTGGTCCATCTTATGCGCCGACTTCGTGCGACCCCTACTACGCTCGAAGCAGGGGAACACTATGCTGCTGGTATTCCACGACGCGTATAGCAAAGTGGGTGGAACTGGTTCCCTTGAGAAGGGCGACGGCGGAACACTTACAGAGGGCGTTCTGAGAACGGATACTTTGTCGATTCGGAGTCCCTCGGAAGTTCGAATGCGATAACGGATTGCAGTTCACAAGCCGGACATTTAAGGCTTTCTTGACTTCTATCGGTGTAGAGGTGCAATACACGGCGCCATATTGCCCTCAAGAAAACCCTACCGAGCGTACGAACCGGACGGTCAAGACGATGTTCGCCCAGTTAATCGAAGAACACCAGAGCTCGTGGGACGAGATGCTACCCGAAATAGCGTTGGCGTTGAACACGAGCGTGGCCGACTCGACCGGATTTTCTCCCGCCTTCTTGGTACAAGGTACCGATCCTCGTCTCCCCGCCGCCTTATAAGACGAAGTTTCGCCTGGGTCTGCCACCGTTCAGCAAACGCCAGGGGAAAAGGCCGGGCGTCTGAGGGAGGTGTTTGACATCGTCCGTCATAACTTGCAGCGTGCTTCCCAGGACCAGGGGAGGCACTATAATTTGCGTCGAAGAGAGTGGCGGCCAGAAATGGGCGAGCAGGTGTGGCTACGCCAGCATCAGCTGTCAAAGGCCGCCGACGGATTCGCGGCAAAGCTAGCGCCGAAGTTTGACGGCCCCTTTCGGGTCGTGAAGTTCGTGTCGCCCAATATCCTGCGCATGGCGCGCGATGGCGAACGGAATAGGCGGGTAGCGAACATTGTCCAGCTAAAGGTTTACCATGGACCACACGAAGAAGACCCCAGTGAGGTCAGAGGGAAAGGAGACGACAAACCAGGCGAAGAATAGATTAGGAACAATTTGTAATAACCCCTATGTTTATATGAGTGGGAGCGAAACAGCGTCAATAGCGACGACCCGTGGCAATGGGCTCTCAATTACGAGTTGGGAGACTCGTTGCAGCCACCGTCCCCAAAAGCCAACGACCCAGAGTGGCGCGACTCACCGCCACCACTCGTGCCCAGGGCGCGCGACGTGGAGTGGAGCGACTCGCCGCCACCACTCATACCCAGGACACGCGACGTGGAGTGGTGCGACTCACCACCACCATTGATACCGACACCACCGTCCATCGCAGGGGTCATCCCGGATTTAAGGCGGGACCCATCTCGCCAGCCTCACCTGTTCTGGGAGGCGCTGGAGGACGCATTCGAGAGGTGGGAGCCCGGCCACGTAGCGTCATACGAAAGCGACGCGGATGAATGGCGACCGGTGGTCCCGAAGGAAGTCTTCCCACCGTCAGGTTGGACGGTCGGTATTGCAGACGGGAAGCTACCGCCCAATGTACGCGACCGAGTCGTCGCCGAAATGGAGGGTCGGAACGAAATACAGACTCAGAGGGACCGCGAGTTAGCTGCAAGGTTAGGAAATAGGGGTCGAGAACTGAAGGTGCAGCAGGGCCAAAGAAGCTTAGGAAATAAAACGATAGCGTTCATATACAAAGCGAATCAGTGTTTGCGTGTTGTTTCTCGTAGAAATTGTGCATTTCCAGGCCTTTCGTTCTGCGGCGGAGTGATCCCAGCAGTACCCATCACGCTGACCTACCTTAACCTAACCGCGGCGAAGCGATCCCAGCGAACCAACATGCTGGTCAATACGGCCAGGATTATTTTGGGTTACATTAAGAAATGGATAAGGAGTCTGACGATTCATATATGTATAATGAATACAATTTTTTTATCGTTTGTGCGACCTACTTTTAAGGGGTGTCTGGTCCCAAAAATATTTCATTTACCAAGACAATTGAATCTGTACATACGGTATTTGTCCTTCGTGGCTTAAACTGGGATCCCGGTGTTCGTTTGCCATCATACTCCAGTAGAGCCCTGACGATCTCCCCTGTTTCATTAATCATAGAATTATGTTTGGGGTCATATTAATTTAAAAATTAATCACGGCCGCTGTCTGTCCCTACTAGACTAACAGGTATTAATTCTACTATTCTAAACTATTTAGCAAGTATATAGTCTCAGTTTGCAGTCGTTGTTGCACACTCGCACATGTTCCAGTTAAAATATTTACCTGAAACAAAATAATTACTGATCTTGAAATTTTATAGAACTTCTAAGCCATGATGTTCCAAGAGATAAACATTAGCGTCCGACATTGTAAAATGTATAAATGTTTGATTAGTCAAATTTGTTTTATTTATCTATTCAAATTCTCGATTATTTTCTTTATCATGGATCACTGGACACATTCCTGAATAAGCATAGAAGGCGGTGAAACGCCAGAAATTACATGCGTTGCAGGTCTGAATTTAGCACAGACATGTTCTAGGCTTCATGACCTTGAATTAGTTCATAAGCCCCAATTCATGTTATGGATGCTTTTTTGGATTGTCATTAGCGAACTGCTTATATATTTTCCATTATGAACCACTGCTGTGCCCGAGTCATGGACAGTGGCCAAAACACTTCGAATTAAGAGAATACAAACCCCCGCAGATATGGGTCTGATCGACGTCCCCTCGCAATGGATCCTTATCGGACCTTTAATGCGGGGAGCGAGGTCGGTGCTGGTCCTCGCACAGGTTTGATTGCCGGTTGAGAAGTATGTAGACATGACATGCTGTATAATGGACCTATTTAGTCGTTGGGGTACTTCGTCTCCCACTTTAGATATTGTTTCAGGAAATTGATTTTATAGTAGAATCTGCAACTATTTTTAATCTAATAAGTGGAAGGTGATCGAGGAGCGCTTTTAATATGCTTGGAACCAGTGTTAGATGCTCTTTTTCAGCGAACGGCTACCTCCCACTGTGGAGCTTGGGACTGTCGTAGAACTGTACCTTTTATTCAGCTTGACGGATTTCAATCCATTCCTGTAGGCCGTCTGCGGTGCCGTTAATTAATGCTGACGGCTGTTTCCGTGGTCGTCAACTGCCTTCTCCTGCCTGCTCCTCTAACGAGAATTATATCGACGTTGGCGCATCTCTCTTTCAGACTTTATTAAATTTCCATATCTCTACTATTGTTAATGGGGCTATAAAAACAGCAAGGATCGAATTAAAAAATTAAAAATTAGAAAAAATTACAAGCTATTTCTGCTTTTTGTCTTACGAGGATAAAACTGAGACCCCAATCTTTGGTTCCCATCGTACCAGAACAGGCCTCTTCCTTTTAATCTTCCGTCGTTAACTAACGGTAAGACGATTCTAGATTTTCGGTGACAAAGATTCTTTTTATACCCTCAACCCATTCAAAATGGGTAAAAATGGTATAATATATTTCTGCAAATGTATGTAACAGAAAGAAGGAAGCATCTCCGACCCCATAAAGTATATATATCCTTCGTCAGCGTCAATTGCCAAGTCGATCTAGCCATGTCCGTCTGTCCGTCCGCCCGTATTTATAAACGCAAATATATCAAATATAAGATCTAAAGACTTTAAATTTGGAACGTAGGCACTATGAGGTGCCTGCGGAGTACGAGCTTGTTTCCGATAATTGATAACTTGCTCCGTCTCCAAACAATCGATATAAATCGATACCGAAATCCTGTTTTTTGACCAAATCTCGTAAGTTATAAGAGGGTCACCAAACTTTGCAAGTAGCTTACGTTATAGTATATATATATATATATATATATGTATATATATATATCAAGGATCTTTTATTTTATAGCTATTGCCACTGCTGTCCTACACAAAATAACTATAAATCAAATAAATAAACCAATTGGAACCCAGCAACTTAAGACACAATTTTCATTTAATTGTCTTTTTGAGAATACAGGAATATTTTATAGCATAATAAGATCTTATGTGAAAAATTTTATCAAAATCGGTTAAGAAACACAGAAGTTATTAAAGTAAAAGTGTTTTGGCTGTCCACGTGTTAGCGGAAGCTAGCGCAAATTGCAAGAATTTCTGTATACATGTACACACACACTCATGCGCGTTTTTGTTTAATTCTATAAACAGCATTGCAATTGCTATTGTATTGTTTTTCGTGCTGTGTAAATGTGCTGCTATTTTATTTCGTTTTTTTCTCTTTCCTTGTTGGTAAGTCTTTCGACCAGAGGTGATGGCGAGTATTGCGGTCTGTATGGGTAGCTTCTAGAATATTATATATATATCAAGTATCTTTCATTTTATACCTCTCGCCACCTCCCCGCTACCACCGCAAAGCTATAAATCATGTTAGTAAACCAACTTGTATTGCCTATCTAATTGAGCCACAAGTTAAATGCAATTGTCATTTTGAGAATACACGAATATTTTATAGTACAATAAGATCTACCACTGATCTACTACCACAAAACCCCGGGTTTTGGCACTCACCTGCCTCCATCCTTTATTATATACTTCCTTGCTAGCCGACGTCGCTGTTTCCCTCTCTTCCTGTTTTAGGGGTTCCGTCAGTCCCTTTATTATTTCTCTCCTTTTTTTTTTATCAGTTGGTGTCTTTTCACTTTTACGCCGATCTTACTCAGCCACTTTTGTTCTTTTTAGTTTTCTTTTTTTTTTTTTGCCTTTATATCTTCCACCAAACAAAAATACAAAAAAAATCCAACAACTTTTTTTTTTTTTTCTTCCTTTTTTTTTTTTTGTTTAAAAAAAAAACTCAACAAAAGGTATTTAAATTTTTTTCTTTTCACCTTTTTACTTTTAGGCCGTTCCTCACTTGGTCGCTGCCTTCGCCTTTATTGTGCACCTTGGTTTATTCTTGTGTATTTAATTGTTTATTTTCTGTATTTCTTTATTTATTTTTGTTTAATTAATTTTATTTATAAAAGAAAATTTTATTATTATCCACTTATTTTTATTTATCTTTGGCCGCTTCACAAAAAAATAATAAAAAAAAATAATTCTTTCGACCTTCTTGACA